GCTCAAAAACGTTAAAACTCGCCAAAACAAACACTTTTCATAACAACAAGCCAAACTCATCAAAAGAACACTAAAACAACAGCTTAACGCATTCATGCCATTACACATGCTCAAAAACGTTCAAACTCGCCAAAACAAACACTTTTCATAACAACAAGCCAAACTCATCAAAAGAACACTAAAACAACAGCTTAACGCATTCATGCCATTACACATGCTCAAAAACGTTCAAACTCGCCAAAACAAACACTTTTCATAACAACAAGCCAAACTCATCAAAAGAACACTAAAACAACAGCTTAACGCATTCATTCCATTACACATGCTCAAAAACGTTCAAACTCGCCAAAACAAACACTTTTCATAACAACAAGCCAAACTCATCAAAAGAACACTAAAACAACAGCTTAACGCATTCATGCCATTACACATGCTCAAAAACGTTCAAACTCGCCAAAACAAACACTTTTCATAACAACAAGCCAAACTCATCAAAAGAACACTAAAACAACAGCTTAACGCATTCATTCCATTACACATGCTCAAAAACGTTCAAACTCGCAAAAAAAAAAACACTGTTCATAACAACAAGCCAAACTTATCAAAAGAACACTAAAACAACGACTTAACACAAGGGGATACTAATTCAACACATTCATGCCATTACACATGCTCAAAAACCTTCAAACTGGCCAAAACGAACAATGTTCATAACAACAAGCCAAACTCATCAAAAGAACACTAAAACAACAGCTTAACGCATTCATGCCATTACACATGCTCAAAAACGTTCAAACTCGCCAAAACAAAGTCTTTTCATAACAACAAGCCAAACTCATCAAAAGAACACTAAAACAACAGCTTAACACAAGGGATTACTAATTCAACACATTCATGCCATTACACATGCTCAAAAACGTTCAAACTGGCCAAAACAAACACTTTTCATAACAACAAGCCAAACTCATCAAAAGAACACTAAAACAACAGCTTAACGCATTCATGCCATTACACATGCTCAAAAACGTTCAAACTCGCCAAAACAAACACTTTTCATAACAACAAGCCAAACACATCAAAAGAACACTAAAACAACAGCTTAACGCATTCATTCCATTACACATGCTCAAAAACGTTCAAACTCGCCAAAACAAACACTTTTCATAACAACAAGCCAAACTCATCAAAAGAACACTAAAACAACAGCTTAACGCATTCATGCCATTACACATGCTCAAAAACGTTCAAACTCGCCAAAACAAACACTTTTCATAACAACAAGCCAAACTCATCAAAAGAACACTAAAACAACAGCTTAACGCATTCATGCCATTACACATGCTCAAAAACGTTCAAACTCGCCAAAACAAACACTTTTCATAACAACAAGCCAAACTCATCAAAAGAACACTAAAACAACAGCTTAACGCATTCATGCCATTACACATGCTCAAAAACGATTAAACTCGCCAAAACAAACACTTTTCATAACAACAAGCCAAACTCATCAAAAGAATACTAAAACAACAGCTTAACACAAGGGATTACTAATTCAACATATTCATGCCATTACACATGCTAAAAAACCTTCAAACTGGCCAAAACGAACAATGTTCATAACAACAAGCCAAACTCATCAAAAGAACACTAAAACAACAGCTTAACGCATTCATGCCATTACACATGCTCAAAAACGTTCAAACTGGCCAAAACGAACAATGTTCATAACAACAAGCCAAACTCATCAAAAGAACACTAAAACAACAGCTTAACGCATTCATGCCATTACACATGCTCAAAAACGTTCAAACTCGCCAAAACAAACACTTTTCATAACAACAAGCCAAACTCATCAAAAGAACACTAAAACAACAGCTTAACGCATTCATGCCATTACACATGCTCAAAAACGTTCAAACTCGCCAAAACAAACACTTTTCATAACAACAAGCCAAACTCATCAAAAGAACACTAAAACAACAGCTTAACGCATTCATGCCATTACACATTTTCAAAAACGTTCAAACTCGCCAAAACAAACACTTTTCATAACAACAAGCCAAACTCATCAAAAGAACACTAAAACAACAGCTTAACGCATTCATGCTAATAGACATGCTCAAAAACATTCAAATTCGCCAAAACAAACACTTTTCATAACAACAAGCCAAACTCATCAAAAGAACACTAAAACAACAGCTTAACACAAGGGATTACTAATTCAACACATTCATGCCATTACACATGATCAAAAACCTTCAAACTGGCCAAAACGAACAATGTTCATAACAACAAGCCAAACTCATCATAAGAACACTAAAACAACAGCTTAACGCATTCATGCCATTACACATGCTCAAAAACGTTCAAACTCGCCAAAACAAACACTTTTCATAACAACAAGCCAAACTCATCAAAAGAACACTAAAACAACAGCTTAACACAAGGGATTACTAATTCAACACATTCATGCCATTACACATGCTCAAAAACGTTTAAACTCGCCAAAACAAACACTTTTCATAACAACAAGCCAAACTCATCAAAAGAACACTAAAACAACAGCTTAACACAAGGGATTACTAATTCAACACATTCATGCCATTACACATGCTCAAAAACGTTTAAACTCGCCAAAACAAACACTTTTCATAACAACAAGCCAAACTCATCAAAAGAACACTAAAACAACAGCTTAACACAAGGGATTACTAATTCAACACATTCATGCCATTACACATGCTAAAAAACCTTCAAACTGGCCAAAACGAACAATGTTTATAACAACAAGCCAAACTCATCAAAAGAACACTAAAACAACAGCTTAACGCATTCATGCCATTACACATGCTCAAAAACGTTCAAACTGGCCAAAAAGAACAATGTTCATAACAACAAGCCAAACTCATCAAAAGAACACTAAAACAACAGCTTAACGCATTCATGCCATTACACATGCTCAAAAAACGTTCAAACTCGCCAAAACAAAGTCTTTTCATAACAACAAGCCAAACTCATCAAAAGAACACTAAAACAACAGCTTAACACAAGGGATTACTAATTCAACACATTCATGCCATTACACATGCTCAAAAACGTTCAAACTGGCCAAAACAAACACCTTTCATAACAACAAGCCAAACTCATCAAAAGAACACTAAAACAACAGCTTAACGCATTCATGCCATTACACATGCTCAAAAACGTTCAAACTCGCCAAAACAAACACTTTTCATAACAACAAGCCAAACACATCAAAAGAACACTAAAACAACAGCTTAACGCATTCATTCCATTACACATGCTCAAAAACGATCAAACTCGCCAAAACAAACACTTTTCATAACAACAAGCCAAACTCATCAAAAGAATACTAAAACAACAGCTTAACACAAGGGATTACTAATTCAACACATTCATGCCATTACACATGCTAAAAAACCTTCAAACTGGCCAAAACGAACAATGTTCATAACAACAAGCCAAACTCATAAAAAGAACACTAAAACAACAGCTTAACGCATTCATGCCATTACACATGCTCAAAAACGTTCAAACTCGCCAAAGCAAACACTTTTCATAACAACAAGCCAAACTCATCAAAAGAACACTAAAACAACAGCTTAACACAAGGGATTACTAATTCAACACATTCATGCCATTACACATGCTCAAAAACGTTCAAACTGGCCAAAACGAACAATGTTCATAACAACAAGCCAAACTCACCACAAGAACACTAAAACAACAGCTTAACGCATTCATGCCATTACATATGCTCAGAAACGTTCAAACTCGCCAAAACAAACACTTTTCATAACAACAAGCCAAACTCATCAAAAGAACACTAAAACAACGGCTTAACACAAGGGATTACTAATTCAACACATTCATGCCATTACACATGCTCAAAAACCTTCAAACTGGCCAAAACGAACAATGTTCATAACAACAAGCCAAACTCATCAAAAGAACACTAAAACAACAGCTTAACGCATTCATGCCATTACACATGCTCAAAAAACGTTCAAACTCGCCAAAACAAAGTCTTTTCATAACAACAAGCCAAACTCATCAAAAGAACACTAAAACAACAGCTTAACACAAGGGATTACTAATTCAACACATTCATGCCATTACACATGCTCAAAAACGTTCAAACTGGCCAAAACAAACACTTTTCATAACAACAAGCCAAACTCATCAAAAGAACACTAAAACAACAGCTTAACGCATTCATGCCATTACACATGCTCAAAAACGTTCAAACTCGCCAAAACAAACACTTTTCATAACAACAAGCCAAACTCATCAAAACAACACTAAAACAACAGCTTAACGCATTCATGCCATTACACATGCTCAAAAACGTTCAAACTCGCCAAAACAAACACTTTTCATAACAACAAGCCAAACTCATCAAAAGAACACTAAAACAACAGCTTAACGCATTCATGCCATTACACATGCTCAGAAACGTTCAAACTCGCCAAAACAAACACTTTTCATAACAACAAGCCAAACTCATCAAAAGAACACTAAAACAACAGCTTAACGCATTCATGCCATTACACATGCTCAAAAACGTTCAAACTCGCCAAAACAAACACTTTTCATAACAACAAGCCAAACTCATCAAAAGAACACTAAAACAACAGCTTAACACAAGGGATTACTAATTTAACACATTCATGCCATTACACATGATCAAAAACCTTCAAACTGGCCAAAACGAACAATGTTCATAACAACAAGCCAAACTCATCATAAGAACACTAAAACAACAGCTTAACGCATTCATGCCATTACACATGCTCAAAAACGTTCAAACTCGCCAAAACAAACACTTTTCACAACAACAAGCCAAACTCATCAAAAGAACACTTAAACAACAGCTTAACGCATTCATGCCATTACCCATGCTCAAAAACGTTCAAACTCGCCAAAACAAACACTTTTCATAACAACAAGCCAAACTCATCAAAAGAACACTAAAACAACGGCTTAACACGAGGGATTACTAATTCAACACATTCATGCCATTACACATGCTCAAAAACCTTAAACTGGCCAAAACGAACAATGTTCATAACAACAAGCCAAACTCATCAAAAGAACACTAAAACAACAGCTTAACGCATTCATGCCATTACACATGCTCAAAAACGTTCAAACTGGCCAAAACGAACAATGTTCATAACAACAAGCCAAACTCATCATAAGAACACTAAAACAACAGCTTAACGCATTCATGCCATTACACATGCTCAAAAACGTTCAGACTCGCCAAAACAAACACTTTTCATAACAACAAGCCAAACTCATCAAAAGAACACTTAAACAACAGCTTAACGCATTCATGCCATTACACATGCTCAAAAACGTTCAAACTCGCCAAAACAAACACTTTTCATAACAACAAGCCAAACTCATCAAAAGAACACTAAAACAACAGCTTAACGCATTCATGCCATTACACATGCTCAAAAACGTTCAAACTCGCCAAAACGAACAATGTTCATAACAACAAGCCAAACTCATCAAAAGAAGACTAAAACAACAGCTTAACGCATTCATGCCATTACACATGCTCAAAAACGTTCAAACTCGCCAAAACAAACACTTTTCATAACAACAAGCCAAACTCATCAAAAGAACACTAAAACAACAGCTTAACACAAGGGATTACTAATTTAACACATTCATGCCATTACACATGATCAAAAACCTTCAAACTGGCCAAAACGAAACAATGTTCATAACAACAAGCCAAACTCATCATAAGAACACTAAAACAACAGCTTAACGCATTCATGCCATTACACATGCTCAAAAACGTTCAAACTCGCCAAAACAAACACTTTTCATAACAACAAGCCAAACTCATCAAAAGAACACTAAAACAACAGCTTAACGCATTCATGCCATTACCCATGCTCAAAAACGTTCAAACTCGCCAAAACAAACACTTTTCATAACAACAAGCCAAACTCATCAAAAGAACACTAAAACAACAGCTTAACACAGGGATTACTAATTCAACACATTCTGCCATTACACATGCTCAAAAACCTTCAAACTGGCCAAAACGAACAATGTTCATAACAACAAGCCAAACTCATCAAAAGAACACTAAAACAACAGCTTAACGCATTCATGCCATTACACATGCTCAAAAACGTTCAAACTCGCCAAAACAAACACTTTTCATAACAACAAGCCAAACTCATCAAAAGAACACTAAAACAACAGCTTAACACAAGGGATTACTAATTCAACACATTCATGCCATTACACATGCTCAAAAACCTTCAAACTGGCCAAAACGAACAATGTTCATAACAACAAGCCAAACTCATCAAAAGAACACTAAAACAACAGCTTAACGCATTCATGCCATTACACATGCTCAAAAACGTTCAAACTGGCCAAAACGAAACAATGTTCATAACAACAAGCCAAACTCATCAAAAGAACACTAAAACAACAGCTTAACGCATTCATGCCATTACACATGCTCAAAAACGTTCAAACTCGCCAAAACAAACACTTTTCATAACAACAAGCCAAACTCATCAAAAGAACACTAAAACAACAGCTTAACACATTCATGCCATTACACATGCTCAAAAACGTTCAAACTCGCCAAAACAAACACTTTTCATAACAACAAGCCAAACTCATCAAAAGAACACTAAAACAACAGCTTAACGCATTCATGCCATTACACATGCTCAAAAACGTTCAAACTCGCCAAAACGAACAATGTTCATAACAACAAGCCAAACTCATCAAAAGAACACTAAAACAACAGCTTAACGCATTCATGCCATTACACATGCTCAAAAACGTTCAAACTCGCCAAAACAAACACTTTTCATAACAACAAGCCAAACTCATCAAAAGAACACTAAAACAACAGCTTAACACAAGGGATTACTAATTCAACACATTCATGCCATTACACATGCTCAAAAACCTTCAAACTGGCCAAAACGAACAATGTTCATAACAACAAGCCAAACTCATCAAAAGAACACTAAAACAACAGCTTAACGCATTCATGCCATTACACATGCTCAAAAACGTTCAAACTGGCCAAAACGAACAATGTTCATAACAACAAGCCAAACTCATCAAAAAGAACACTAAAACAACAGCTTAACGCATTCATGCCATTGCACATGCTCAAAAACCTTACAACTGGCCAAAAAGAACAATGTTCATAACAACAAGCCAAACTCATCAAAAGAACACTAAAACAACAGCTTAACGCATTCATGCCATTACACATGCTCAAAAACGTTCAAACTCGCCAAAACGAACAATGTTCATAACAACAAGCCAAACTCATCAAAAGAACACTAAAACAACAGCTTAACGCATTCATGCCATTACACATGCTCAAAAACGTTCAAACTCGCCAAAACAAACACTTTTCATAACAACAAGCCAAACTCATCAAAAGAACACTAAAACAACGGCTTAACACAAGGGATTACTAATTCAACACATTCATGCCATTACACATGCTAAAAAACCTTCAAACTGGCCAAAACGAACAATGTTCATAACAACAAGCCAAACTCATCAAAAGAACACTAAAACAACAGCTTAACGCATTCATGCCATTACACATGCTCAAAAAACGTTCAAACTCGCCAAAACAAAGTCTTTTCATAACAACAAGCCAAACTCATCAAAAGAACACTAAAACAACAGCTTAACACAAGGGATTACTAATTCAACACATTCATGCCATTACACATGCTCAAAAACGTTCAAACTGGCCAAAACAAACACCTTTCATAACAACAAGCCAAACTCATCAAAAGAACACTAAAACAACAGCTTAACGCATTCATGCCATTACACATGCTCAAAAACGTTCAAACTCGCCAAAACAAACACTTTTCATAACAACAAGCCAAACACATCAAAAGAACACTAAAACAACAGCTTAACGCATTCATTCCATTACACATGCTCAAAAACGATCAAACTCGCCAAAACAAACACTTTTCATAACAACAAGCCAAACTCATCAAAAGAATACTAAAACAACAGCTTAACACAAGGGATTACTAATTCAACACATTCATGCCATTACACATGCTAAAAAACCTTCAAACTGGCCAAAACGAACAATGTTCATTACAACAAGCCAAACTCATCAAAAGAACACTAAAACAACAGCTTAACGCATTCATGCCATTGCACATGCTCAAAAACGTTCAAACTGGCCAAAAGAACAATGTTCATAACAACAAGCCAAACTCATCAAAAGAACACTAAAACAACAGCTTAACGCAGTCATGCCATTACACATGCTTAAAAACGTTCAAACTCGCCAAAACAAACACTTTTCATAACAACCAGCCAAACTCATCAAAAGAACACTAAAACAACAGCTTAACGCATTCATGCCATTACACATGCTCAAAAACGTTCAAACTGGCCAAAACGAACAATGTTCATAACAACAAGCCAAACTAATCAAAAGAACACTAAAACAACAGCTTAACGCATTCATGCCATTACACATGCTCAAAAACGTTCAAACTCGCCAAAACGAACAATGTTCTTAACAACAATCCAAACTCATCAAAAGAACACTAAAACAACAGCTTAACGCATTCATGCCATTACATATGCTCAGAAACGTTCAAACTCGCCAAAACAAACACTTTTCATAACAACAAGCCAAACTCATCAAAAGAACACTAAAACAACGGCTTAACACAAGGGATTACTAATTCAACACATTCATGCCATTACACATGCTCAAAAACCTTCAAACTGGCCAAAACGAACAATGTTCATACAAGCCAAACTCATCAAAAGAACACTAAAACAACAGCTTAACGCATTCATGCCATTACACATGCTCAAAAACGTTCAAACTGGCCAAAACGAACAATGTTCATAACAACAAGCCAAACTCATCATAAGAACACTAAAACAACAGCTTAACGCATTCATGCCATTACACATGCTCAAAAACGTTCAAACTCGCCAAAACAAACACTTTTCATAACAACAAGCCAAACTAATCAAAAGAACACTAAAACAACAGCTTAACGCATTCATGCCATTACACATGCTCAAAAACGTTCAAACTCGCCAAAACGAACAATGTTCTTAACAACAATCCAAACTCATCAAAAGAACACTAAAACAACAGCTTAACGCATTCATGCCATTACATATGCTCAGAAACGTTCAAACTCGCCAAAACAAACACTTTTCATAACAACAAGCCAAACTCATCAAAAGAACACTAAAACAACGGCTTAACACAAGGGATTACTAATTCAACACATTCATGCCATTACACATGCTAAAAAACCTTCAAACTGGCCAAAACGAACAATGTTCATAACAAGCCAAACTCATCAAAAGAACACTAAAACAACAGCTTAACGCATTCATGCCATTACACATGCTCAAAAACGTTCAAACTGGCCAAAACGAACAATGTTCATAACAACAAGCCAAACTCATCATAAGAACACTAAAACAACAGCTTAACGCATTCATGCCATTACACATGCTCAAAAACGTTCAAACTCGCCAAAACAAACACTTTTCATAACAACAAGCCAAACTCATCAAAAGAACACTAAAACAACGGCTTAACACAAGGGATTACTAATTCAACACATTCATGCCATTACACATGCTCAAAAACGTTCAAACTCGCCAAAACAAACACCTTTCATAACAACAAGCCAAACTCATCAAAAGAACACTAAAACAACAGCTTAACGCATTCATGCCATTACACATGCTCAAAAACGTTCAAACTCGCCAAAAAAAAACACTTTTCATAACAACAAGCCAAACTCATCAAAAGAACACTAAAACAACGGCTTAACAAAAGGGATTACTAATTCAACACATTCATGCCATTACACATGCTCAAAAACCTTCAAACTGCCCAAAACGAACAATGTTCATAACAACAAGCCAAACTCATCAAAAGAACACTAAAACAACAGCTTAACGCATTCATGCCATTACACATGCTCAAAAAACGTTCAAACTCGCCAAAACAAAGTCTTTTCATAACAACAAGCCAAACTCATCAAAAGAACACTAAAACAACAGCTTAACACAAGGGATTACTAATTCAACAGATTCATGCCATTACACATGCTCAAAAACCTTCAAACTGGCCAAAACAAACACTTTTCATAACAACAAGCCAAACTCATCAAAAGAACACTAAAACAACAGCTTAACGCATTCATGCCATTACACATGCTCAAAAACGTTCAAACTCGCCAAAACAAACACTTTTCATAACAACAAGCCAAACTCATCAAAAGAACACTAAAACAACAGCTTAACGCATTCATTCCATTACACATGCTCAAAAACGTTCAAACTCGCAAAAAAAAAAAACACAATTCATAACAACAAGCCAAACTTATCAAAAGAACACTAAAACAACGGCTTAACACAAGGAATTACTAATTCAACACATTCATGCCATTACACATGCTCAAAAACCTTCAAACTGGCCAAAACGAACAATGTTCATAACAACAAGCCAAACTCATCAAAAGAACACTAAAACAACAGCTTAACGCATTTATGCCATTACACATGCTCAAAAAATGTTCAAACTCGCCAAAACAAAGTCTTTTCGTAACAACAAGCCAAACTCATCAAAAGAACACTAAAACAACAGCTTAACACAAGGGATTACTAATTCAACACATTCATGCCATTACACATGCTCAAAAACGTTTAAACTCGCCAAAACAAACACTTTTCATAACAACAAGCCAAACTCATCAAAAGAACACTAAAACAACGGCTTAACACAAGGGATTACTAATTCAACACATTCATGCCATTACACATGCTCAAAAACCTTCAAACTGGCCAAAACGAACAATGTTCATAACAACAAGCCAAACTCATCAAAAGAACACTAAAACAACAGCTTAACGCATTCATGCCATTACACATGCTCAAAAACCTTCAAACTGGCCAAAACAGAACAATGTTCATAACAACAAGCCAAACTCATCAAAAGAACACTAAAACAACAGCTTAACGCATTCATGCCATTACACATGCTCAAAAACGTTCAAACTCGCCAAAACAAACACTTTTCATAACAACAAGCCAAACTCATCAAAAGAACACTAAAACAACAGCTTAACGCATTCATGCCATTACACATGCTCAAAAACGTTCAAACTGGCCAAAATGAACAATGTTCATAACAACAAGCCAAACTCATCAAAAGAACACTAAAACAACAGCTTAACGCATTCATGCCATTACACATGCTCAAAAACGTTCAAACTCGCCAAAACGAACAATGTTCATAACAACAAGCCAAACTCATCAAAAGAACACTAAAACAACAGCTTAACGCATTCATGCCATTACATATGCTCAGAAACGTTCAAACTCGCCAAAACAAACACTTTTCATAACAACAAGCCAAACTCATCAAAAGAACACTAAAACAACAGCTTAACACAAGGGATTACTAATTCAACACATTCATGCCATTACACATGCTCAAAAACCTTCAAACTGGCCAAAACGAAAAATGTTCATAACAACAAGCCAAACTCATCAAAAGAACACTAAAACAACAGCTTAACGCATTCATGCCATTACACATGCTCAAAAACGTTCAAACTGGCCAAAACGAACAATGTTCATAACAACAAGCCAAACTCATCAAAAGAACACTAAAACAACAGCTTAACGCATTCATGCCATTACACATGCTCAAAAACGTTCAAACTCGCCAAAACAAACACTTTTCATAACAACAAGCCAAACTCATCAAAAGAACACTAAAACAACGGCTTAACACAAGGGATTACTAATTCAACACTTCATGCCATTACACATGCTCAAAAACGTTCAAACTCGCCAAAACAAACACTTTTCATAACAACAAGCCAAACTCATCAAAAGAACACTAAAACAACAGCTTAACGCATTCATGCCATTACACATGCTCAAAAACGTTCAAACTCGCCAAAAAAACACTGTTCATAACAACAAGCCAAACTCATCAAAAGAACACTAAAACAACAGCTTAACAAAGGGATTACTAATTCAACACATTCATGCCATTACACATGCTCAAAAACCTTCAAACTGGCCAAAACGAACAATGTTCATAACAACAAGCCAAACTCATCAAAAGAACACTAAAACAACAGCTTAACGCATTCATGCCATTACACATGCTCAAAAACGTTCAAACTCGCCAAAACAAACACTTTTCATAACAACAAGCCAAACTCATCAAAAGAACACTAAAACAACAGCTTAACACAAGGGATACTAATTCAACAATTCATGCCATTACACATGCTCAAAAACCTTCAAACTGGCCAAAACAAACACTTTTCATAACAACAAGCCAAACTCATAAAAAGAACACTAAAACAACAGCTTAACGCATTCATGCCATTACACATGCTCAAAAACGTTCAAACTCGCCAAAACAAACACTTTTCATAACAACAAGCCAAACTCATCAAAAGAACACTAAAACAACAGCTTAACGCATTCATTCCATTACACATGCTCAAAAACGTTCAAACTCGCCAAAACAAACACTTTTCATAACAACAAGCCAAACTCATCAAAAGAACACTAAAACAACAGCTTAACGCATTCATGCCATTACACATGCTCAAAAACGTTCAAACTCGCAAAAACAAACACTTTTCATAACAACAAGCCAAACTCATCAAAAGAACACTAAAACAACAGCTTAACGCATTCATTCCATTACACATGCTCAAAAACGTTCAAACTCGCAAAAAAAAAAAAAAAAATTCATAACAACAAGCCAAACTTATCAAAAGAACACTAAAACAACGGCTTAAAACAAGGGATTACTAATTCAACACATTCATGCCATTACACATGCTCAAAAACCTTCAAACTGGCCAAAACGAACAATGTTCATAACAACAAGCCAAACTCATCAAAAGAACACTAAAACAACAGCTTAACGCATTCATGCCATTACACATGCTCAAAAAATGTTCAAACTCACCAAAACAAAGTCTTTTCGTAACAACAAGCCAAACTCATCAAAAGAACACTAAAACAACAGCTAAACACAAGGGATTACTAATTCAACACATTCATGCCATTACACATGCTCAAAAACGTTCAAACTGGCCAAAACAAACACTTTTCATAACAACAAGCCAAACTCATCAAAAGAACACTAAAACAACAGCTTAACGCATTCATGCCATTACACATGCTCAAAAACGTTCAAACTCGCCAAAACAAACACTTTTCATAACAACAAGCCAAACACATCAAAAGAACACTAAAACAACAGCTTAACGCATTCATTCCATTACACATGCTCAAAAACGTTCAAACTCGCCAAAACAAACACTTTTCATAACAACAAGCCAAACTCATCAAAAGAACACTAAAACAACAGCTTAACGCATTCATGCCATTACACATGCTCAAAAACGTTCAAACTCGCCAAAACAAACACTTTTCATAACAACAAGCCAAACTCATCAAAAGAACACTAAAACAACAGCTTAACGCATTCATGCCATTACACATGCTCAAAAACGTTCAAACTCGCCAAAACAAACACTTTTCATAACAACAAGCCAAACTCATCAAAAGAACACTAAAACAACAGCTTAACGCATTCATGCCATTACACATGCTCAAAAACGTTCAAACTCGCCAAAACAAACACTTTTCATAACAACAAGCCAAACTCATCAAAAGAACACTAAAACAACAGCTTAACGCATTCATTCCATTACACATGCTCAAAAACGTTCAAACTCGCCAAAACAAACACTTTTCATAACAACAAGCCAAACTCATCAAAAGAACACTAAAACAACAGCTTAACGCATTCATGCCATTACACATGCTCAAAAACGTTCAAACTCGCAAAAACAAACACTTTTCATAACAACAAGCCAAACTCATCAAAAGAACACTAAAACAACAGCTTAACGCATTCATTCCATTACACATGCTCAAAAACGTTCAAACTCGCAAAAAAACAAAACAAAATTCATAACAACAAGCCAAACTTATCAAAAGAACACTAAAACAACGGCTTAAAACAAGGGATTACTAATTCAACACATTCATGCCATTACACATGCTCAAAAACCTTCAAACTGGCCAAAACGAACAATGTTCATAACAACAAGCCAAACTCATCAAAAGAACACTAAAACAACAGCTTAACGCATTCATGCCATTACACATGCTCAAAAAATGTTCAAACTCGCCAAAACAAAGTCTTTTCATAACAACAAGCCAAACTCATCAAAAGAACACTAAAACAACAGCTTAACACAAGGGATTACTAATTCAACACATTCATGCCATTACACATGCTCAAAAACGTTCAAACTGGCCAAAACAAACACTTTTCATAACAACAAGCCAAACTCATCAAAAGAACACTAAAACAACAGCTTAACGCATTCATGCCATTACACATGCTCAAAAACGTTCAAACTCGCCAAAACAAACACTTTTCATAACAACAAGCCAAACTCATCAAAAGAACACTAAAACAACAGCTTAACGCATTCATTCCATTACACATGCTCAAAAACGTTCAAACTCGCCAAAACAAACACTTTTCATAACAACAAGCCAAACTCATCAAAAGAACACTAAAACAACAGCTTAACGCATTCATGCCATTACACATGCTCAAAAACGTTAAAACTCGCCAAAACAAACACTTTTCATAACAACAAGCCAAACTCATCAAAAGAACACTAAAACAACAGCTTAACGCATTCATGCCATTACACATGCTCAAAAACGTTCAAACTCGCCAAAACAAACACTTTTCATAACAACAAGCCAAACTCATCAAAAGAACACTAAAACAACAGCTTAACGCATTCATGCCATTACACATGCTCAAAAACGTTCAAACTCGCCAAAACAAACACTTTTCATAACAACAAGCCAAACTCATCAAAAGAACACTAAAACAACAGCTTAACGCATTCATTCCATTACACATGCTCAAAAACGTTCAAACTCGCCAAAACAAACACTTTTCATAACAACAAGCCAAACTCATCAAAAGAACACTAAAACAACAGCTTAACGCATTCATGCCATTACACATGCTCAAAAACGTTCAAACTCGCAAAAACAAACACTTTTCATAACAACAAGCCAAACTCATCAAAAGAACACTAAAACAACAGCTTAACGCATTCATTGCCATTACACATGCTCAAAAACGTTCAAACTCGCAAAAAAAAAAACACTGTTCATAACAACAAGCCAAACTTATCAAAAGAACACTAAAACAACGACTTAACACAAGGGGATACTAATTCAACACATTCATGCCATTACACATGCTCAAAAACCTTCAAACTGGCCAAAACGAACAATGTTCATAACAACAAGCCAAACTCATCAAAAGAACACTAAAACAACAGCTTAACGCATTCATGCCATTACACATGCTCAAAAAACGTTCAAACTCGCCAAAACAAAGTCTTTTCATAACAACAAGCCAAACTCATCAAAAGAACACTAAAACAACAGCTTAACACAAGGGATTACTAATTCAACACATTCATGCCATTACACATGCTCAAAAACGTTCAAACTGGCCAAAACAAACACTTTTCATAACAACAAGCCAAACTCATCAAAAGAACACTAAAACAACAGCTTAACGCATTCATGCCATTACACATGCTCAAAAACGTTCAAACTCGCCAAAACAAACACTTTTCATAACAACAAGCCAAACTCATCAAAAGAACACTAAAACAACAGCTTAACGCATTCATGCCATTACACATGCTCAAAAACGTTCAAACTCGCCAAAACAAACACTTTTCATAACAACAAGCCAAACTCATCAAAAGAACACTAAAACAACAGCTTAACGCATTCATGCCATTACACATGCTCAAAAACGTTCAAACTCGCCAAAACAAACACTTTTCATAACAACAAGCCAAACTCATCAAAAGAACACTAAAACAACAGCTTAACGCATTCATGCCATTACACATGCTCAAAAACGTTCAAACTCGCCAAAACAAACACTTTTCATAACAACAAGCCAAACTCATCAAAAGAACACTAAAACAACAGCTTAACGCATTCATGCCATTACACATGCTCAAAAACGATTAAACTCGCCAAAACAAACACTTTTCATAACAACAAGCCAAACTCATCAAAAGAATACTAAAACAACAGCTTAACACAAGGGATTACTAATTCAACATATTCATGCCATTACACATGCTAAAAAACCTTCAAACTGGCCAAAACGAACAATGTTCATAACAACAAGCCAAACTCATAAAAAGAACACTAAAACAACAGCTTAACGCATTCATGCCATTACACATGCTCAAAAACGTTCAAACTGGCCAAAACGAACAATGTTCATAACAACAAGCCAAACTCATCATAAGAACACTAAAACAACAGCTTAACGCATTCATGCCATTACACATGCTCAAAAACGTTCAGACTCGCCAAAACAAACACTTTTCATAACAACAAGCCAAACTCATCAAAAGAACACTTAAACAACAGCTTAACG